TCTCGTAATGGGCGATAGATTCGTCGAAGACGATGGGCTTTTGAATTTTCAGGATCTCCTCCATGGCTTACGATGGTAGATGACAATGCAACAACAGAAGAGACTATGGATTTTCCTTTTCACTCTCTTTTTCTTCTCCTTTTTTTCTGAATTTTGAGACTCAAACTCTCGAGGAATTTTAGGTTCTGGGGTGTTAACGCCTTGATAGGTCGTCGATGACTGCTTCGAATGGACAATGGTGATTCACTTTTATAACGGCCTCCGGATTTGGTATTGAAAACGATGCCCATATTAGGCTTTGATGTGCAATCTTATTGTTATAACCTCTGCTCTGAAATTCACCAATTGACCTTCTTGATCGACAATTCTCACTTGGAGATGATCTATTGCCTGCACCGCGATCGGGAGGTAAATGATGTTTGATGGCATCTCAATGATCTTATATCCTTGTGGAACAGTCGGGAAGAACTCATCGACAGTGTGTACTCGCTGTTCATTGATGTGCGCTCCAGTGGTGATGTTGCACTCGACTCGCAGAGAATTAACCTTGAGAATCGTCACTGGTGAGTCAGATTCATGACTGATATGGGGCGGCAGAATACCGTGTGTGAAGCCCTATAACCGCCCAATTGAATCTTCTGGATCAAAATTTATTGGGTGACTGCACTTGATTATACTCTTCAGAGTGTTATTGTTGGGCTTAAGGCTGATATTTATGTTATATTCAACGACCTTCTCAACCAAGGAATTCTCAATATCTTCAATTTCGTAGCTCTCCATAGGTATTTCAATAACTCTATCGCCCACATAAAATTTGTTATTCCCGGTGTCAATAGTGGGAATGGAATTGAAGGTTAATAGTTCAGCCAATCCCAGAGTATAATTCTTCAATGGTAATAATTCAATTGGAGGAAAGTAATGAGCTTCCAACACCGAAGAGGTGCCTGATAATATCAATGTAAAAGAGTCATTCATCGCAGCTGATATCTAACTGATGCTTATAGAGTAACTTATTGAGGTTTTATATCATTTCTCCATTGAGAAATTTCAGACATAAATGTCCACACACCGCTGTATCATAATCTTGATAGCGTTCATGATTGTACTTGACAATGCTACCAACACCGAAGTAATCCATCAGGTCATGAGGTGGACGAAGATTACCAAAACTATCAAAATAGATAATTTCATTCCTCCGTTTCTTGTATGCGACCCAATGCGTTCCAGGCCCATCTTTATCATCAAGATTGACAATAGCCGATTCATATTTGCGTGGACCTGACTTGGCCATTTCGTTCCTCATGTATACGCCACGAAAATGTGGGATTCTCATAACCTTGGCATATTTCATCAAGTCGGCAGCGGTGAAAGCTCGGTGTGGTAGCTTTATGCGTTTTTTAAATGGACACCCAAGCCCTTCTTGTAGGGTTTCAAGTACAATCATTTGCCCAATGCAATGGACTCTATTGTCTCATTATATCTCATACTCTCCTGAAGAGCTTTCTTAGCTGCATTAGCGTCATTGATGGCTCTTGCAATTCCTGCTGCACCACCAGCTAGAGCTCCGATGGCACTCAAGCCCGCAAACAGCGGTATCAAGAAGGATATTATACCTTCAATTTTGGCGGGTACAGGTAGAGTGCGAGGTAATCGCACCTGCTTTTTACCACCAATCCTTTTCACTGCGGCGCGTGCGCCTTTGAGCGCCGTTTTGATGACGTCGATTCCTGGACGCATAGATTTTTTGGCAGCTTGTAAAATTTGTCGCAGGGACACTTTTTTCTTTCTTCCACATCCACCACCATTACGTTTCCCTCTCTTCTTCGTAACTCCTTTGCTTGGTTTTATCCCCATGCCTAGGGAGGTCTTTGCTGTCATGGTGTTAGCTACACCCCAAGCGGCAGCTTTCTCACCAAGACCTGCGTCTTTCGATAAGACTCATTTCCAGGCTTTTTCCGTGAGAATTTTATCTGCTTCGTGTCGTGCAGTGAGGTTATCTCTATTTCTCGAGTAGGCTATGTCGTGTTCTTTGCAGGCAGCGTCAATTAGATTAATGCTAGGGTCACCCCGTTTCAATCGTTTCTGCAGTTTTGTACCAGGGCTACAATACCGGTAGCTCGGTATATGCAATTCCACAGCGAATTTATTGATGAGACTGTTCACTAACCCTTCACATTAGTATCCTTTCCTACGTTTACACACTTTCATGGCTATACAAGGACTGACTAGTGATGAGAACAACATCGTGTATTTATAGGTCAGCGACTGAACTGGTGGTAGATACTGAGTAAGCGAGATGATGCTCGAGCATTAACGGCCATCGAATCGGAAATCTATAAACGACAGATATTCATCACCCTGCAGTCAGTCATCAACCATGCGCTTCAAAGAGCAGAACACTAAACTACCAATAATGAAATTTGATGAGTTGACGCGAAAAACGAAGACGAGGGAGAGACGTCATGAGCCTCTATTACCAAACAGTTACTCAAACGTCTGCTCTTCCCTGTTAAGGGTATAGGATATTTCTCCTTCAGCGAACATGAGGAAGTCATCAAGCCAGAGGATGCCCGACCAAATTCCATCATGATTTTCGATGATGTGGCCGGCGAGAAACAGGATACTGTGCGAGCATTCTTCTGCATGGGATGACATAGAGATGTCGACAGTTTCTATCTCTGTCAAACATACGCTCACGTACCCAAACATCTCGTGCGGGACAACACCAATCTTCTAATACTCTTCCGCCAAGACGACATCAATCTGAGGCACATTTATGAGGATAATATGAATACTGATGTCATTTGCTGAGTTCATGGACATATGTGCCAAATGTTGGAATGAGGGCAAATACAGTTTCATGGTGATTGATAAAGACATTAAAATTGATGAGGGCCGATATCGAAAAGGATTCGATAGTTTCCTGAAGAGATAAATACGCTCCATTCATAGAGACTGAGAGTAGTTGTTGGCCGAACGCACAACTGTCAACATGCAGAGCGAAAATTTCAAGAAGGAGACGCATATCTTGCGGAATATTGCTCAGGCGAGTAATGCTATTCGCCGCAAGCATAAAATGATAAAATTGGGTAGGGAGACTACTGAGAAAGCTATGAGTGAAGTGCTCAAACCAGTAATAACTCCTCTTGAAAAATTGGTAGATCAGTCGGTAATGAAGGAATCGTCACATAAGAAGGACGAAGAGAAGAAAATATTCGCTACTCCAACACGGATGAAGGAGGAGAAGGATGACGATTTTGATGATTCTTCTGAATATCAAACTCTGGTAAATCTCCCATTCAACATAGAAGAAGCACATTCAAGCACTCCAATGAAGAAAATATCAACAATAAAAGTCACGACTCCAACTGATCGTATTTCATCAACTAAGCTGAAATCTCCTATAGCCTTACAGAAGCTTCTTCCAACGTATTTGGATCACTATAATACAGAGCGTGGAGATAGCGTTTTGGATAAGGAATTTGGTGTTCGTTCCCTGAAAAGCGGTATGAAGATTGATGATTCATTGGTCGCGTTCCATGGAGATTCAATGACCCTCAAGGGTGAGGAATATACATTGACTCCTGGTTTAATCGACCTAATCTTTAAGAAATTACCCAACATGAGTTTCATAACCGAAACCGATAAACATACCTACGATGATATCATACGGAGTACGAATGCACATCGAATATACTACAGAACAAATGGAGCTCTTCGAAAAAGTAACATGATGAAATATCGTGTCATTATTGAAGAGCTTATCAAATCTAAGAAAGCTGGAACGGCTCTCCCTCATCATATGATTGCTTCAGCAAAACCTAGGCAAACTGACTATGTGTACTAGGACGATCCTAATGAGCTGATGGATAGACTTCCACTGCTTATGGCATTACAGTCAGCCGGAAATATGACTCATACCAATAAAATTATGTCAATAATCAAGGAATTACGTGAAACTGATATTATTTATTGAGCTGTAGTCATAATAATCCCATCATTTGAAACATGAGTGTCGACGTGTTCGGACGCCAGTTGGGCACTGGTGCTGTGAGAACTATCGGTAGCCGAGGTCCTCCAGGTGAAGGATTCAAGGTCACGCCTGATGGACACTACGATATGGATCATCGGAGATTATTCAATTTGGCGGATCCTGAAGAAGAGAATGACGCTACATCTTTGAAGATATTGCGCAGTATGTTGAAGGAGGAGCTTCGTCTCATATATGTGACTGGATCCATGGGTGGTAGACTTGATGGGATTGAATCGATGATTGAATCATTTCGAGTGAATTTCCCAGAGACTATGAGACGAAGAGGTGTTAGTGAGGAGGAAGTACAAAAACGTTTGAGCAATCATTCTGAGACCATTCAACGTCTAAACGAGGAGCTGACAACACTAAAAGATTCAGTCATACATGAGACGAAATTGATGATAGATGGTTTATATTCACTGATAAACGAGCAATTGGAGGGAATAAGAAAAGAAGAAGCGACTGACCAGAATTTGGCACTACGCAATTCTGGAATAATTAGTGATCTGGATAGACGTCTAATTGCACTGGAGAATGGACGATAAAAAGGCGACAGTAGTGGAGGAGCTCCATAGACCTGCTCGCAGGAATTATGCTCGTGGACGTGTTGAAGTCTGCAGGGTGGATGAGACATGGCAGGCAGATCTTGTGGACATGAGTGCCTATGCTCATGAGAATGGAGGTTACGAATACCTCCTAATAGTTATCGATATCTTTTCGAAATATGCCTGAACTGTGCCGACCAAGACGAAGAATTCGAAGGATGTGAGCAGTGCTATGGGCTCCATACTTGAACAGGGTCGTGTAACACAGACGCTGTATGTGGACAGAGGCAAAGAGTTTTACAATAGCGAATTCAAAAAGCTCATTATGGGAGCTCAAAGATTATGGGATTACCATGTACTCAACCTTTAGTAATCTCAAAGCATCAATCTGTGAGCGATTCAATCGCACACTAAAAGAGAAGATGTGGAAACAGTTCAGCTTACAAGGAAGATATGAGTGGATTCCAATAGTGGAGAGTCTCGTTCATTCCTATAATGACACCAAACATCGCACCATCTGGATGAAACCTAAAGATGTCACTGCTGCTCATGAGAAGTACTTGTTACGTCATGTCTATGGAAAACTCAAAATTCCTCGCACAAAGAAAATCAAGTTCAAGGTTTGAGATGAGGGGCGCGTCAGCAAGTACAAGAGCATATTCGAGAAAGAATATACACCCAACTAGACGACGGAGATATTCACCATAAGTGAAGTTGTAAATACCAATCCTGTGACCTACAAGCTCATCGACTATGAGGACCAACCAATTGAGGGTAGATTCTACCAGGAGGAGTTAACGAAGGTCACATATTCTGACGTTTACCTCGTGGAGAAAATACTCCGAAGACGTGGAAACAAAGTCTGTCAAGTGGTTGGATTTTCATAATTCACACAATAGCTGGATAGATAAGGATGCATTGTAATAAATAAATGGATAATAAAAAACTCATTTATTGAAATTTTTTTCTTGTATTTACAATACCCATATGGCACAGTACCATGAGAGTTTGAGCAGAGTATTCTCTTGTCATCTTCCGAGCTTAGAGCTCATTTCTTCTGGTGTACAGTATGCACATCGTGCTTACTACTTTTGATTAAATACTGGGACTTGATAAAATATTCATGATTCTCCAGACAATCTTTGTAATCATCGAACGTAATCCTTTTCATTGTCGACCCTCTTGCTCGATTGCTTTCTCAATTCTGTATTGAGGTCAATGAGGTCAATGTACGGTTTCAGCCATGGCGCCTGAATGAATTCCAGAACTCGGTGAATTTTCGTCAATTTGAGCCCCAAATTCAGACATTGCTTGAGATTCTTATAGTGAATCACATAGTTTTTCTTAGGAAGCAATGTCGTCATTAATTTAGAGATTTTCTTATTTGGGGGAACGAAATATTCCGGGCAAAGTGGTAAATCCTTGTGGGTCTCAAAGAGCCGCTTGGAATACTCCAAGTCGACCTCAAGCATGTAGCCTGTGCTCGAATCATTTGCAATTGTATGGATATCAACGATTGATGGATTAACCTACTGGAATGAGCCACAAGGCAAGTACTGGGACATGGCTGCTCCGTACAAGTTGTTCACATCGAAGTACATTAGATAAGAAGTCTCTTTGTTGGGGTCGAATTTTTCACCCATGTACTTATTGTTGGCACAAGCGTACCGATTGGAGCATTGAGCCACCCCTCCTCGAATCCCATTCTCAATGAATAAGTGCATCTCAATGTCTGTGAGAAGCTCAAGATTGACACCAGTGCATTTCAGCATAGCATCAAATGCGAATTCTAGTGCCGTGTAGTAATGAAGGGGATCGAGTTTGTACACCGAAGAAAAAGTACGAAATTTTGGAAGATGTCCACCAAAAGCACGACATCTGTTGCCAGATAGAGGTCGGAGTATTCACCCAAAGATGTGATGCCAAAGACATCCCATACTCTCTGCGCATGCACATAATCCTCAACAGAGACACTCTCATCATTCAATTTTGAATAGAATTTCTCGATGGGAGGCAATTGAGGGTCATTGAGTTTCTCCCAAGAGTTCACGTACTCGTATGGGAAAACTCCTTTACTAGTCAAAAGCTGAAATTTCTCCACATCGTCATTGCAGTATTTTTGAGTAATGGATTTGTCAGAATCATTGAGGTAGGATGCCAATTTCTCCAAACTACTCGCCATGAACCGGAACGAGTCAATGAACCGAAATCGAACCTCAGTCTCATCAACGTGTTTCATGAAGGAGATGTACTTTTTCTTATTGAGAGGGAGCATATCTACTGAACCTGGGAATTGTGTTGCAAGAGTCTTGATGAGAAAATGTGAGTCGTAGCCGGAGAGGTTATGAAAAACTACTGGGATCGTGTGAGAGTTCTTGTAGTTGACATTACATCCCGGGTGTGCTGGACCGCGATACTTGCCCGTGAAGTGGCAGTGATCGCGGTGTTTCTTATCAGTTGGACTGAAGGGTTTCTCGCAAATGTGACTAACTTGAGCATTAGCAAAGTCCCAAGCGGAGCTGAGGTGTGAGAGGTACGGTACGTTTGTCTTCAAACAGGTATCGACCTCATGAGCTATTCTTAGCAATTCATCTATGATCCATTCGATACAATCGGGCCCACGATTCATCTTGAATTGTGATCGAGTATCATCAAAAGCACAATGCAAGTAAAACGCTACACTATGAGGGATGTGCTTCTGATACACAAATTCAGATTTAGTTGGTTCCAAGATGCACTCCAAATCTGCATAGATAACAAAGGGAACCATTTCCTTGAATCGATAATTCTTAAAACTCAGAATATTTTTACCCTCTTCTGGTAGCACCATTCTGTACTTGTTAATCTCAATACAGTCTTTCTCATGATTCTTGAATGAAGATTTTGTGACAAAATGGCCTAAACAGTGATCATAAAACTCAATCATATATGATGATTATGACTAGATAATTGTGAACTTACTAATCGAGACAAATTCTTAATCCAAGCGAAATGATAGATGGGTTGCGTATCATGTTCTATTTGTGCATTATCCCAACGCAACAAGAGATGAATCGTGGGCCAGATAAACTTGGTTTTACTTAAATATAAAGGTACAATGTCTTTATCATCATCTATACTGTAAACATTGATCGATAGTCCATTCATTGGCTCGAATTTCGGAAAGTTCTTCAACTGCATCGGGAACTCCAGGCCGGTGTAGTTGAGATGTGTCACTCCATCCGGTAGAATAGCCTCAGAAAAATGAGGATATGAGCTTAGACGATCGGAATGCATTAGCTGGGTGTAACGCTGGGTGTAACACTGCTGTCACCGCCCACAGAAAACAATGCTCATCACTGTTCTTGATGTTCACTACTGCTTTCTTGGACTGCACGTGTTGAGGTAGTGAGATGAATGTATTCGCGCCCGCTGCAAGTGGCACATACTTGTTGATGTTGACAGTGAGGTTCATAATCTCAATCAGTTCTCACCCTGTGTCTTTCTCCTGGAAATCCTCAATTTTAGCGAGCAGTGGTTCTGTGAGATTCTGATCGAACCATTCCTCGATATTGGTACTAGGTAAAAGGATCTGATTTTTGGTGTTGAAATATTTTGTCCCTTCAATTACTTCACCATTCTTCTTCACTTGAAACTTGCAGGCGAGGACTCCATTGGCCTTAATATTTCCTTGTTATTGTAGAGCCTCCTGCCACCATGTTGTGGCTTCTTCTTCTCTATGAATCGTTTGCAATATGTGTGGAGCAATGAAACTGTTGTCTGTATCCTTATTTTTTCTGCAACGGAAAGATTTTCAATTTTCTTCAAAGCTTTCTCGTAAAGTCGGATATAATGTTGACACTTTTCAATCCAACGATCAATATCTTGAGAAGATGCACTCTTATATGTCAACTGAAACCTCTCCAACACTTTCAAGCACGATTTGGGATCCATTTTGATGTGATCACTTATAAATGTACACACATGAAAAAACCTTGTTTGCTAACTGGCGACTTGCGAACTGACCGGAGTTGCGCGAACTGCGTGCTTTTTATAGGGAAGGGCTAAGATAATTTCGTTCGGTTCAGAACAAAAAATTGCAGATGATTTCCGATTTAGATAATTTTCCAAATAATTCCATACAACGAATTCTATTGGTGGAGAGCAATTCAGATAAAGTTCTAGATAATTCTTATAGATGATTTCCCTAGATAATTCTATACAATGAATTCTATTGGTGGGTAGATATTCAGATAAAGTTCGAGATACAGTTCTAGATACTTCTTCTAGATGATTAACCTAGATAATTCTATACAACGAATGCTATTGGTCGAGAGCGATTCATTGAGAATTTCAGATAAATTCCAAGATAATGCTGCTAGAGAATTTCCCTAGAAAATTCCCTAGATAATACTATACAGCGAATTCTATTGGTCAAGAGCGATAATATGGAAGTCTTTCTAATCTTAGAAACCTTTTGGAAGGAAATTCTCAAAATATGTGCGCATTTTCTATAGGAACGGATTATTCTTCACTTAGTCGAGATGTACGACACAATTCTACAGGAACGAACATGCAGTTTCACGAATATGTTTCAGTAGATTGACAACAATTCCGAGAACTGTTTGCGTCGCGACCTTGGACGTATTTACATCTAAGTGCAGTACAAACTACGCAATTGGGATAAACACGTTCCAAGGTTGCGTTCCATTGGTCGTGAACGATTCTTGGAATAGTTTACATCGCAATCTTCCAAGTGTCGACGTTTAAGCGTAGTACAAACTACGTAATTTAAGCAACAGCGCTTCAAGGTTGCATTCCATTCTTCGTAAACAATTCTTGGAACAATTTACATCGCTACCTTGGAAGTATTTACATCCAACTGCAGTATAAACTACGCAATTCGGATAAACACGTTCCAAGGAACAGTTCCTTGGAACAGTTTACATCGCAATCTGCGAAGTATCGACGTTTAAGCGCAGTACAAACTACGTAATTTGGATAAACACGTTCCAAGGAACAGTTCCTTGGAACAGTTTACATCGCAATCTGCGAAGTATCGACGTTTAAGCGCAGTACAAACTACGTAATTTGGATAAACACGTTCCAAGGTTGCATTAGGCGTGGACAAATCTTGGAACTGTTTACGTCGCAATCCTATAAATGTTGACGCATTGTTATGGAAAAATATATGCCTGCATTTCTTTCAATTTGCCTTCATCCTTGGAAAATAAGAAATCAGTACCACACAAAAATCGCGATGCGGTATTCAAAAATCAGAATGCAGCATTCGGAAATCAGAAAGCAGCATTCAAAAATCACAATGTACTATTCAGAAATAAAAAATCAAAAATCAGGAATCAGAATCAGAAATTGGAGAGAAGCGATCAGCAGCTCGTGAGTGGCATCGCATTGCAGCCAGTAGCACTCTACCTTACCGATTCACTCCTACCTCAAACTCGACGTGCATTCCGCCAGGTGGCGCTTGCCACTAATTATGACGCTTCATCGGATGCCACGCGTACACGACTCCCGCATATTTCAGCATTGACGAGCACGCCGAACGAGGCCCGACGTCACGCCCACACGCGCACGATCTTCGCCTCGCTGACAATATCCCCCAACCACAAGCCCCTATCTACAACCCCTTCACCCCGACCCATTCTACCCACAGTGGTAACCCATTACGAAAATTCAAATTTTCTGCACTCTGATTGGTCAATGGACCCACCCACTCCTGACCCTGGTGATATTTAATTAGTGTAATTCGAATTTCCCGCGCTTTTGTGACGTCACTTCCGGGTGGTCACGTAGCCCCCTCCCCCGCCCCGCCTGCCATCTAGTGGTGAACTTTCGAATTTCACGCCACGACATCACTTCCGGTTTGGCGAAATTCAAATTTCCCGCC